CAGAAAAAATTGTGAAAATATTGAACTTGATAGAAATTATAAGGAAAAATGTGAAGGTCACTTTTCTCAATTTATATTTCTAATAAATAAATTTTGGCTACTTACATGAGATTAGTGCAAAAATAGTAAGACTTGCTATCTTTTCAAATGTTTTATAATAATTTCCGGTTAGGAATACTGAAGCTCTTTAAACTAGAAAGACGGTCGCTAATTCTTCCCTTTTTTTGATCATTTTGGTATTACGAAATGTTAATTCAGTGAATGATAAAATGACGTAGTCAGGAGACAAAGTGGGCTAAACGACTATTGCTTATCATGCAACCATGAAATAATCTGTTTCTCATTTATTGTCTGTGCAAACTTCGTGAGAGTCTTATTAAAGTTTCGCTCTTAGATGATTGTGAGCGAAAATAATGAAACTTTAGAAAGCACCGACTTTCACTGAGTCCACTAAAGATTCGAAACGTAACATTCCAACTAAAGATAGCGTCGGTACGATACAAAATTAGATGCAATTGGATTGGTTTCAACTGTTCGTTTGACAGCAAGTGCGTTGCGTTTAAAAATGATACGAACTCCTGACAACGTCCCCACGGGCTTCTTATTACAGATACACGATCTCAAACAATTACCTGACTTTACTGTCAAACTAACTGTTTCCTAACACTAGTTCCTATCTATCTTTCAGTAAAATTGCCATTTAAAAGTCATTCAGAGCAGGGCGTCCCAGGCCACAAGGAGTTTAATTAACAAAAGAGCATCGACCGAACCAAAGAGTCCCCTTGCTTCGTGAAACGTCAGAGAGGATGAACTTGTCCGCTTGCACGACACACACACATCGCGAACGTAGTCATATCGATGTATGTCGAGCAAGGTCGGGTTGCGTAAAAATGTTAGTAGGCAGATTCCGTCCACAGTGTATGCCGGAGGGGACTAATCGGTCCCCAGGTACACCTTAAAGCTAGGAATATCTCCTCGCGTGCACGCCACCGACTGAATCAAGGGGACACTATCCTTACCTCGAGTGCAGTGGCCAAACTACAAACAACTCATCCCAGAAATATGACCGAACATTATTATTAGATTATGTTCCAACCGCTATATTCCCTGAGTCATCTATTTTGAATCACTCCGCGGTCAGTTCGCCTTTTTGTTTCTGTCATTCTAAATGGTTCTCATTAACGCAATTATATTAGAACAAGACACCTGGAGAATATCTTTGATTTGAAATATTCCTTTTTTAATTCTAACAGTAAGAGAATTTTGCCACTAATCACGTTAGAATTTTTACTGTATGAACGTAAATTGGTATAAATTGTTGATACATGAAAGATTATTTCTTTATACAATTCATTCCGATTAACATCTGGATTAATCATGACATGAAATTTGAAATATGAAATTTCCAGTACTGCAGTCGACAGCTTGTAATCGAGTTTCTCTCGTCAACTAAGCTGCGAAAGGGTTGAACCCGTTCCAACCCGAGATCTCCTGTCACTTGCCGTCGTGACGCGACGTTTTACCGAAAATCAAATAAGCTAAATCGCAGCAACGATCAGTGTTTCTGTTACAAGAGTCGTCGCGTGAACCAATTTGAAACGAGTCAGCTTGACCCGACACGATGAGACATACATATCCCGTTTCCTCGTTTTAAATTCGTCGCTAAACGTTACAAGCGGCGGGGAAGATAGCTGAAGAGTCCGCCAAAGATACTACGTCAAGATAAGATCAATCGCTTGTACTCTTGACTTGCTCGAGAGCATTGGCTTGTATCCTTTTGCTTTTACTGTCTATCATTCGCTCGTTAATCGATCCGACGATTACCTCACAGTTACAGTCACACTCGACTCATGCAAAGGAACTTATACAAAATTATTTAACTAGATTTAATTATACAATAATAGTGGATTATTTTACGGCTGTTTTGGCTACACGAACTCCGCAAAAAATTATAGGTATTCTAAACATACGTATGTGGACTCTTTGATTTCGCGTTAGAAAGTATGTTTTAATTGGAATACGAGAAAATAATTATTATTAGATAGGGAGAACGTATGTTAATTTTAAATTGACGTATCTACAGAATTATCTCAATTGCATTCAAATTTTAAATGTCAGTTTATCACTAATAACAGTTGATATCTAATTTGACAACCTTGATATCTAATTTCAGTAATGTTAATCAATAGTTAGTTTAATAGATAATTGTCACTGATCTCATTCTTTACTCCCAAGTTAAAATAATTGAACGCTGAAAAAACTTGTGGGAGATATTCAAGTAATATAATAGAGTATCAAATAATAAAAATTCTAAATCGTGAAATGCTTATTGATCTTCTTTCACTGAAACTAACGGCTAAACATTTGACTTGTTTCGCTTTAAATTATTCCATATTTTCTGTCTTTCGTTTTATAGTTTAGCCCTTGTATCTCGAGTTACCTTGTTTTCTCCGAAGTAATGCATATTAAATTTATTAGTACTCACGTTTCGATGCGCCGGTGCACGAGCCACCCTTTCGGAAGATCCCCGAAGTAGTTCGGCGAGAAGTTCAGGACTAGGTCCCGGAAGACCTTCGAGTTTGCTCGGGCTGGAAGTGGTTCTGTGATGGCATGGTGTGGGCGGCTCCGAACCGCTGTTATTCGAACTCGTATTATACGAGAGATTCGCAGAAACTTTTCTACGTGGACGAAGACCTTCTTCTAGAGAAATGTCGGTGGTCCGCGGCTTCGCCATTTCCGCTTCGAGCATTTGTCCATAAGGACCACGGAGTGGCCTCTTGCTGTACCTGAACAAATGAGAACGAGATCAAGATTCAATTGTGTGCCACTTTAATATTCTACTCGCCTTTCCCTTGTCAGAAGTTAAATGAAAGTCTCTTTGATACTGCCTTTATGAAGAAAATTGACGCCGAAAGTGTAAAAAATTTGATTTCCAATTTTATTTATCAGTTACAATAGTTCATTGTAGGATCCGACATTAAAGTACTTTTGCTTTCAAGGAACATTCTTCCTATAAAATAATTACCGATCCAAATCGATTTAATGTCGTTTCTTTTAATTGTCTCAACGAACGAAATTAATGATACAATATTGTTTCTCCTCTTTTTACAAAGATGCAATTTATGAGAATCTCATCCATTCTTCGTTATTGTAATAAAGATTTAAAAGCGAAGACCGTCAGTATTGAAGTCTGTTTGCATTCTATTCCAATATATGTACGTATGTACAACCAACACATGTTCTCATGTTACCTTCTAGGCGTGAGGCCCTCACAGTCGGAAAGGTCGCTGGGCGTCGCAGGTGGCTCGTCTCTTTCTTCGCTGCTTTGAGCTGACAGCTTGTTCCTATCCGTGTCCAAGGACTCCGGCCATTGAGTTATATACACGCCCTTTCTCCTTTTGCTGGTATCTCCACGGTATCTTCTCGTTTTGCCCGATAGTGACGACGCCTCGGAGGGTGCTTCGCTAGCCGCCTCGCTGCCCTCGCTAGCCTGGCTCAATCGCGGTTCTTCAGGCGGAGGTGTTATTATCACTTCGTGCGCTTCCATCCTATTTTCTACAATGATTGTTTTCGGTTCAGTTCTCGAAATGAAATAAAGGAAGATCGTGATACAGAACGAAAATTCTTATTAGATGTAAGATTCTTAGTTGGGATCAAGTGGCTAGAGTAGTCACTTGACCTTTCAAATATTGGTCGTCATATTTTTTACGCTTTTTGATCTGTTTTATCGATAACCAGGTAAATATGGATTTGCAACATTTGCATCTTTATTTCTCAGAGAATCAAGACAAAATTTGTTCTAGTGCAATATGAAAGACAAAAAATGGATTGCTACAAAGCAATAGCGATAAGTTAATTTCCTCTAATTATTCAATATTTTATTTTCTTTTAAAGTATCTGTGAATAAGTCACGTTAAAATGTACATATATCATTATACGTCAAAAGGTCGCGTGCATTTATTGCGATTCGAGTGCTCTAGACAGAAGTGAACGGGCGTGAAGTCATCAATGAAGATGGGCAGAAGTTGATGATGCCGAAGTTTCTATTTCGACCCTGGCACCCACCGTTCCGAAAATAGAGTCACACGAAATAAAGTGGAAACTCGGGTGCACCTTTGTACCCACATGCTCCTGTCGATGCACCAAAAATAGTCCTTCTTTTCCGCTACTAATCGCTACGCTGAGACCGGCAGGAGAAACTATTTGGCCATTCCATCTTATTCAATTCTATGCCTCATCACCGAAGGACACGGCCGATTCATAATTCTTGCCAGTCGACGCTTCGATAAACGTGTCAACGGACAAGCAATAATTAAGAGCAGGCGGGTCGTTGAATCTTTCGCGTTTTCCCGACGAAAGCATTTCTCTATTTAAGACGGATCTGATCACGCAACGTGAATAGGATACGAACGTGTATTGAAAAGGATGCGAGGGTGATTATGCGGTTCTGGCACGGATGAAGTAATTAAATTAAAATTACAAACTGCGAGCATGACAGACTTGGTAATATTATGCCAATATGATGCCAATTTCCGCCAACGAAATCAGCCAAATAGCGCGGTGCTATACATAAATACATACCTATACAAGTATATGTATACGACAACTCTGTTTCATTTAAGTGAGAACAGTTTCACGGATGAAGTAAAAAATATACTTTAAAGAGTTTTAATTATTGTATTAAAAAATATACTTTAAAGGGACACATTACTTAATACAATTATTTCTAAATTAATAAAATAATGGGGAAGATTTCAAGGTCATATTAATTTTTGATAGGTTATAGTAGGTCACTGAATTCTCCTCGACAAGCGATTTTTTGGATAAAAAATATAGGGTTCGATTTGAAAAAATTAATTAGCCTTGAAATCTCCTTCATTATTTTATTAATTTATATAATATTTCTGCCAAATAATGTACCTCTTTATATCAAACACCACTGCAACTTCCACTGTTAAAGGAATAACTGTACAAGAGAGCGTGATTAGAATCAATGAAATCACAGCTACTTCCGGTGTTAAAAGTAACAGAAAGGTTATCCGTACTTAGAAAAAAATATTTTTTCAATTATTTAGACTTCGTTATAGAAAATACTTGTAGAAAATTAATCGAACCTTTCTAACTATAAGTAAATTACTTCCGCATTACTAATAATATAATTATCCATAAAAGTCAAAGGTAACTCGCCTTTCTGTACGGTTTCCTCGGTCGATGTGGTTTCAATGAGTGGAAAACTGGATTCGATGGGGACGATGTCGATCGACGGCATGTCAGCTTGTACCAAATCAATTCTTGGCTCGTTGATCTCCGGGATCGGCGGTTCCGGGCTGGTAAGAGCACTCGAAGTTGCCAGGCTGTCGGAACCATCGCTCCTCGGTCGAATTTCCTCCACATTTCCGGTCTGAGGTACACCCAGCCCTTCCGCGGAACCGACGGCGCTATCGACGCTGGGCGTCGACGTTCTCGGACTCTGCCGATTCGGACTATTCTGCGGTGTCGAGACAACAGGACTGGTGTCCCCTCGCCTTCGCGGTAACGTGCTCGCGCGAACATCCTTGTTGTCTGTGCGATTCGACGTGACTATTGGCTGTACTTTCTGTCGATTCACTACAATAAATTAATTATTAATAGATGTTAAAAAATCAAGCATTATCTTCTATGAGTTTGTCATGTAAAATTCCTTAAATATCATTTAAGGAAACTTTAGGAAAAAATACGTTATCACAAAATTTTATGTGAAAGATGGGATTCACAACGAGTACTTGTTTTCGGATAAAGAAAATATAAAGAGTAGATGAATAATAAAAAATGAACATCTACTGAATCAATCACGTTCTGAAAAATCTTCCCTGAATCTGAATCATTGAATTTTATTGGAACCGTTTATCATGAAAACGCGAAAAGAAAACAGACGTTCGAGACTTGCAAGTAGGAAACCAGCATCGTGAATTTTTAATAGTAATCTAACTTAACCGTGAACGAGTTCTTGCGTTTCGATGACCGACGTCGTAGCATAGAATAGAGGGAGACCACGCCAGACTGAGAGAGGAAGTCCTAATTACCTCCTCGTGGCTCAGTTAAATTTGGCAGTATCTCTCAACAGAAGAAGGTGGACCATTCCAATAATAACAAACAGACTGTACGAATGGCAACGGGAACGAAAATCTAAACCGATAGTATGTCGTCCTAATCGAATTCTGAGAGAAATAGCCGTCGATTAAAGAACAAAGTCTCTTAAACCCTTTCTTTCATTTATTCGATAAAATATTTATACGTAATATTAGTAAAAGATGCGCTGATTCCGTGTATTTAAAATCTGGACTCGTAAGAATCCGAGTTCGAATCTAATTCTCAATCATTTTTGTTAGCATGAAAAGAAATTTTAATATATATTTTTATTCCAATCGTTCTCTAGTAGTTCAGAATCCACGTAAAATATTATAAACGCCCACTTTAGTTTCATACAGCATCAAAGCTCAAAAAGTTCATATCGCATCAAACGCAACGAGTCGCTAATGACTTGACTACTCGATCCGACTTAAAAACCAGAGGAGAACAAATATTTACTACATATAATGGAGTTCTGAATCTCTTTCATGAAGGCAGCAACGGAATTTGTCTAAAACAAATTTAAAATTTAAAATCACGGTATATTGCAATAATTTATCTTCCGCATAAATGTATACTGTGCAAATAAACACGATCCAAATGCCTGAGTCAAATTTATTCGCTGTCTAAGGAAACGCAGCAGGTACATGTTACTAATTTGGTTCATATTTTATATACACTGCAGACTAGATCTGATACTATAATAAATGTGTGCTACTAAAAGTTTTCTACAGGGTCATAGGTTATATTTTCGGCCACTTTTACACATTCAAGGATGTAATTAAAAGAACGTAATTTCGAAATTTTTTTAAAACTTTTCGATTCCATACAGAGTCCACTTATAATTATATTGAGTGCCATAAATTGTTATGATGAACGTTACTCAGACCTTACTGTAATTATCGTCGCAATAATTAAACGTCAAATGAACCGCTATGTAAATTCTTCCTTTACGGTAAAACACACATCCGTTAATTTAGTTCGCAATCTCCAAGGGACGAGGCAACTGCTCACATATGCATAAATACGCGCACGAGAAAAATAATGGGACCTGCACTCCTAAGAATGCAATTACGACCGCGCGATAATATTGCTGGCTGAAGAATACGCGTAATTCATTCATA